ATGGGTGCTCACTGTTTTATTTGGGGCTCAAACGGTTGCTGTAACTGGGTCTTGGGAATGGTGAAATGGAATGGCACTAATCTCAGCGAGACCTTGAAAGTGGATGGGTGTCAGGACTGTTAGATTTCACCCATGAACATTTTATGTACGCATCTTTAGAAAATATATATAACTCTACGAAACACAAGATTTGGCAGGCAATGATCACTTAGCAGGTGTTGTTATTGGCCAGGATACTGAAGGAAACCCAAGTTGAAGAGTGGGGACTTAATGAAAAACAGTATATAAAAACAGCTTTTTGTGTGTTGCACTTACAACTCTTTTTTTTTCTATTGCTACATACCATTATTTTTCAAACTATAAAGTAGAGCTACAGCAGCTAAAATGCTCAGTCATTACCTCACAGTTAAAAGGCTATTTTTAATGCTTTGTTTTTACAGTTGCTAAAAACAGGATTTCAAAACAATCATAATTGCTGTGGTTAGGGTAAAGGAAAATATATAAAAAATAGCCAACAGTTATGTCAGCTCGATAAAGATGGATGTACAGCCAGGTATGCAAAAAAGAAAAAAAAACTACCAAAGAAAGAAGAATGCATTTCTTCTTTCTTTTGTGAAGAAGCAATCTGTGGCTAAGCAGTGCCATCTAACAGCACCTGGCACCTTAGTTTTCCTCATCACCAAGAATGCTTGAAAATAATGGTATTACAATTATTATGTTACAATATACATGCTTGCATTTCTGTCGCATATACATGCATATATATAGAAACATATGGAAATCTAATGAGAGCACCCATGACAATAAAAAATACCAGTGCACAGTACTAGATTTCTAATTACTGTATATTGTGTAATGCTTGGTTGTAAATGGGGTCTCACTTGAGTATAAAAATTAGACTGAAACCAGAGAGCATCTTCTTGCAAAGTCATGGAGATAGACATGAAGACAGATAGCATTCAACACCACAGCAGCAGTATATATGGCATTCTTCATGGGAATACTTGGAGCTATTCACAATGACAAACTAAATCAGCTTGCGATAATCGTTTCCCAGCACTAAAGCATTCAGAATGTGCCAACTTTTAGTTGTTCCAACTCAGTGGCCATTAAAACTTGGCAATTTTAAGACTTGTGAATTTCAACTCCCAGAATCCCATGCTGGGCTGGGGGATTCTGGGATTTGAAGTCCACAAGTCTTAAAGTTGCCAAGTTTGGAGATCCCTGTTCTAACTGAACACTGAACTCTCAAGACATTGAATTACAGTGGAACAATCAACTCAAAATGTTTCAGTGTGCTTCATGCACCCCTACATTTGATCCGGCCAGAAACGGATGGAAACTAATCAAGGAGAGAAGCAACCTAGAACTAAGGAGAAACTTCCTGACAGTTAGAACAATTAACCAGTGGAACAACCTGCCTCCAGAAGTGGTGAATGCTCCAACACTGGAAGTTTTTAAGAAGAGACTGGACAGCCATTTGTCTAAAATGGTATAGGGTTTCCTGTCTGAGCAGGGGGTTGGATTAGATGACCTCCAAGGTCCCTTCCAACATTATTATTATTATATCTATGATAACCAAGTCATATTTTACAAGGCAATTCATTGCCCCCCAAAACTGTACCTGCTTTTGAGATTATCATGCTCATTTTAAGGTAGGGACCACTACTTCTCAAAATTTTCTCGTCAACTTTCCCTGATCGAAAAAGACCAAGTCAATTACTCTTTGGGGCATCAACATATATGCAGTTTTTAAAAAGAACTAGAATTTTAAGTTCCAATTTCTTTAAAAAAAATACAAAACATTACAATTAATTTATACCTTACATTTGATAAGGAGGAGAACAGAACGTTAATTATGGGGTGTAAAAAGGACTGAGTGCTGTGGTTTTGATCATCAACTGACTTCCAGTCAGAATTATATGCTGCTGAATGGATAAAGGCCAAACTTTATGGCTCTGTGATGTTATTCTTCTCCTATCCTTGCAAAGACAGCATATATGAAGAATACTGTATTTCTACATTTTGTAATTAATTTTCAAATTCTTCACCTATACATATTTTAATAATTTCTGATTTATTTGAAGATATCTGTAATAAAATTTCCTATATTCAATAAATGAAAAGAAGGCTGTTTCACTCCAATAACAGCGTCACACAATATAGTCCTGTCAGGCGCCAATTTTTACTTCTAACGTGTACGTTAAAGGATAAGGATTTATAATGCTGCCTATGAACGAAACCACTTTTCATACACAAATGCGATCTTTTTTCCAAAGGGTAATACAACAGTACATTTACATAAACTAATCCAAACAATCTATGCATTTGACAATGGCAAACCTCACACAGACTGCCTATTGTTGGTTTACATCTTGGAGTTCTTTATGTTGGCTTGTAACACTGCCCTAGCTGTCAAAGGTTTGACTTGGCCTCTAAATAAATGGTTATACAAGTGCTGTGCAGTGATATTGGACTGCTTTGGAAAAGAAACCTGCTGTGTACGAATTCAAAAGCTATTAATTTTTCAGTCAAAAATATTCATGCCTATTTCTTTTAATAGAGAAACACTGTGCAGAGCAACTGAGAGATAATGTTGACTAGTGGTGCAGAATTTTCAATAGAACAGTTAAAAATAAATTTAGTGGGAGGCCCCATCAAAGCTATAATTTTCCAGAATGTAAAACATTTTTAATACTGGTGAAGACAGTGCATCCTTCATTTCCTTTCCTTTGGTCAATTTTATTTCCTTTCTCTGCTGGCCCACTTACTGGTTGTGCAGCAGTTTTTACTCTGGAATCTCTGTTACTGCTAGTATTTATTAGCAAAAAAAAGTCCTGAATTTTAAGTAGTGAGCACTTGGGAGTGGACTAAATTGTTCTGGCCATATTGCTCTTGTACTCAAAGGGGAAATGGCCCTTCTGATATTTTCATCTTGCAGCTGACATTTAGCCATGCTGGTTGGTCTACCTTCTTTTTGTAGGGCTTTCTGGGGAAGAAGAGGGAGAGATAATAGTTATCCACAACTTACCTTCTGAAATACAGGTAGTCCCTGACTTACAATCATTTGTTTCGTGATTGAAGTTATAGCACTGTAAAAAGTGACTTATGACTGCTTTTCATACTTACGACCATTGCAACGTTCTCTATAGTCATGTGATCAAAACTGAGGCGCTTGGCAACTGGCAAGTATTTATGACAGTTGCGGTATCCTGGCACCACGCAATCACTTTTTGTGACCTTCTGACAAGCAAAGTGAATAGAAAAGCCAGATTCATTACTACTACCAGTACTAACTTAACAAGCGCAGTGATTCACAACCGTGGCAAGAAGGATGTAAAAAGGAACAAAACTCACTTAACAAGTGTCGTGCTTAGCAGTGGAAATTTGGGGGTCAATTGTGGTCATAAGTCAAGGACTACCTGTACATCATCTTGCAGCTGTTTAATCTTTTGAAGATTCTATTTGAAGGATCAGGATTGGTATGGGCTAGATGGGGTTGTTAGAGAACAATGAGGGAGGTAATCCAAAATCTTTGTAAAACAGTTCTAGCTATGTGTGGAGCACAACTCTCTTATGCACACAAGTAACCACAACTTCCTGAAGGCCCAGTGTGCAGCTTTGAGAGCTTTTCCCAGGTTGTCTATATGTGCATATATTATTTGCTGACAATATCAGCTAATGTATTTTCTGTGTGAGCACAAAGGAAATCCTCAAAGTAGTTGTCCCAACCGTGTGTGAAGATACTGTTCAAGCAGCTTTCCTTCACTTGTTATTCAAAGTACTTTTTTTCAATGATTTACACTCTCCTAAGATCTACCTGCTTCTTGATGCGACTGGAGATGCACTGCTATTATCTTTTAGAGAATATAGGAGAAGATCTGGGGATGGATCCAAGGAAAGAAAATAAAATAAACTTATTTCATATCATCCAAGCTTTCATGGGAGTTCCAAATTTAGGAAGACAGGATTACACAAGATGAAGGCTTTCTTAGCTCTGCCTTATATTTGAAAACAAGCACACAGTTTTTTTGCCACTCAAAAATATTCTGCAGAAAAATCTGCACATAGATTTGTTAAGACGGTGAAAGGGATCAGGGATTTAAATAAAATGCTTTATCTTAAATTAAAATTTAATTTACATATCAAAATCAGACTTGCTTATCCTAAAAGCTTATGCCCCCCCACAACCTTTTAAATATGAGGTTTTTAAAGTTTATTCCTCTCCTGGTAATACTCTGAAATTCCTAATTGCTTCATGTGAGTATTTTAAGCTGAAGGATTGATTTGCTACTTAGTTTCTTAGCTATATGTAGGTAAATGGCCTAATTTGATTTTACTTGTTGTATGAAAATTTAGTGCTGATGATCTACAGTTTGTATAAACTACATTAATCAGCAAGTAGTGATGAACCATAACAGCAAATTGGTTTATCAATTTTATTGTCATGCCGATTATAAAATAGCATGTAAGCAGGCATCTATCTTTCTATCTGACAGAAAGAAGAGATTCAAATTGAAGACTCAAGAATAACAGCAACCTGATTAGGTATAATTGAAAGGAAAAAAAATAAAATAGATTACTTTGCACATATCTTCCTGGAAAAGACATATTATTTTTTCAGTTTTCTTAGGAATTAAATCCTTAACTCTATGTGGACCAGTAGAGGCTAAGTCATAAAATATGCAGTGGGATAGGTGTGTCAGCCAAATGATGGGGAACTTACTTTGCAAATATTGTAGTGAATTTATTTCTTGAATAATGCTCAAGAAGTGTGCTGTTATGCAAAAAAGCTAACCTTATAATAAATCTCTTTATTTTTTTAAAAGGCAGAAAGGCTATTTATTATGTTGTGTTCATAACAGACTAAGAGAGCAATCTTTCTAGTAATAATTGATATACTAATCTTGTTATTTAGAAATGGTCTGTATTTGCAGTGCCCTCTCGGATACAAAGAATCAGCAGAGGCAAAGCTTTATGTACTCTGTGCAGATACTTACAGGCTGAGGGGTAGCTTTTGGTTCAGTTGATTTCACATGCAGGTGTGTCATCATTGCTTGTAGGCGGTCCTTGTCTTTTGCAAGCTGAACAGGAAAGGGAAATGTAAACATGACTTTTGTGAACAGAATCCAGAACGGCTCTTCTCTATTTAAACCCTGGCGTTGTAGCTAGCACATGACAGGAAAAGTGCACAGTATTACTTTCCTGTGATTTGGAAATGTTAGAGGAGCCCACATCCCTCTCTGGCATTTCTTTAAAAGCAAAGCAAAACTTTTGGTGCTGGGTATCAGGTGTCAAGTGCATTGGAGCACTTGACTCAAGCAGGTCTAGTCCTTCCGGCTCCAGGAGAGATTGCTGAAGTAATGAGGGAGAAAATGAAGGAATTGCAGTTACTATCCAACCTCAGTGCTAAGACACCCAAGGTTTGTTAGCTTTAAAGCAGGGGTGTCAAACGGCTGGCCCAAGGGCTGGATGCGTCATGCCGAAACCGCACCCATCCCATTGCTGGCAATGGGAAAAAAAGTCACAATACATTGCGACATGTCACGTGACGTTGTGAGTTTGACACTCCTGCTTTAAAGCTTGTCTTCTCCTTTTCTATAATATCCCACTCGGCACCTTTTTAAAAAAGACTTGGCTACATACCCTCCATTAGGTGAGGCTGACATGTAAAACATTAAATGGAGAGTCAGCTTTAGGGAAAGGGAAAAGCAACCATTTACAGAAGGTAAATGTTTGTTCTCTCACAGAAAAGATTTCACTGTGGAGGAGAAAAATCAACAAGCTTTATTTTTCACATTTGCTTGTGTAGCCAAGAGGATACATCCTAGCCAAGTATGTTTTTTGTTACCAAGTTTTTTTTTGTCTTTTAGTACAGACTGGATGATGCACATATTAAAACTGAATTGTAACTCATAAGCCAACTTGCATGGGGGTTGTTCTCTTCCTGACCCGTGGGTGTTAAATATAAAATACAAGGATAGCTCCAGCCACTGATAAAATTCTCTCCCACACCAGCCTTTTCACTCTGTTGATGAAACATCCAGGCAGACATATTCATATGATTCAAACTCTAATGTATTGGAGCAATGTAGAAGCCCCAGTAAATTTTTAAAAAAAAGAAGTTGAAATATGAAGTTCTTTTTTTGAGAGAGAGAGGTCTTTACATTTTTACAATCTCACAAGTTTTAAAAAGTGATAGTTCATATGCCTAAACCATTTGCAAAAATATAAAAATTACTTGATGATTCAGCATCATTTAAAAAGTATTATTTCACTGTCTCTAGGGAGGGAAAAAGAAAAAAAATATTGTATGTTTCTGAAGAATCCTTCTATTCCCTACCATTCAGCTTCTTGAATGAAAAGCAAAATGTTTTCAAGAAGAAAAAAAAAGAAAGTTCAGTTGCCTTTTGGATTTAACTTTAAACTTTCCAAAGCCTCAGTGAAAAGATGGGAGTCATCAATAATATTCAATCTTAACAATACCAGCAAGTTTCTAATTCTTGCCATTCTGAATAATTCAGGAAAGTGATAATGCCTCCATAATCACCAGGTCAAAATCCAGGATGAAATGCTAATGGTTTTTTATACATATATTTGTCTAGTCAGCATAGAAGTGGGCATGGGGAATAGTTGGCATAGTCCAATAATACCTGGCAAACCCACTTTCTCTATTCATGCATTATAATCTTGGGGTTATTGTAATGCATTCATGGCTTATCCTCAGATGCACATAAGATTTTGCTACAGTTGTCTGAGGTACTCACAGAAGAGGGAGAGACCACACAAATGAGAACAGGGCTATCTTTTTATTGGAAGCCTACTGACTTACAGGTAACATTGCAAAGTAACAGTTGCTCTACATATCTATCTACATGTTTGAAGTGGTTGACCCAAATATTTTTCACTATGATATTGCCAACTGTTCACTAAATTACAGGCCTGGAAGATTTGTCCAGTGTAAAAGTTATTCCTTCCGCCTGATTGAAATGAGGACTTTTTTTCTCAGTGAAAATGAGGAGAAAGATAAGAGGCAAGATGTGCATATTATTTTATGCCCAGTTCTTCTGAAAAGAAGCAGGACCCAAATGTAAATGGATCCAGCTATTTGGAATTAAGAATTTTCAAATTCCTACTTTATATGATCAGAAAACTGATTAGGTTTTATACACTGCTCAACTATAAATTATTATAAGTCAATGCAGGACAGCAGATTCATTGTTCTGCTCTTGAAAAAGAGTTATCAATTCTCTTATAGTGCCATCATCTTCCTTGAGGCTAAAACTGGGATCCATTACCTCTTCCACTGTCTAGTTGGAATACAAAACATGCTGGACTTAGTATGAATAAAGATCCTGTCCAATTCAGCATATCAGTAACAAGAATAACCTGGTTAACAGAAATGTTTGCGGGGCATGATGGCTTGCGTGGTTAGGATGCTGGTTTGACTAGCAGCAAGGTCACATTCAAGACCCAAGTGCTGCCATGGGGTTATGTATGTGAGCTCACATCCTTTGTTCCAGCTCTTGCTGGGAATATGAAAGGAGCCCCCAACTGGGCATCCTCTAGGCAACGATAATGTCACTGGCTAATTCTTTCAACTTGGAAGCACCTCAGGCCTTCCGACACAAGTGCAAAAATCCCCTCAGAAACATTACAAAGGTTGACTTCCTAGAGGAAAAAATGGCCACATTGAACATTCAAACCATTTTATCCCAAGGGTATCTGCTCCTCTAATAAAATCAACATACAGGTAGTCCTCGGTTGTTAATGACCATTTGTTCAGTGACCATTTGAAATTATGAGGACACTAAATGAGGAGCCTTGTAACTAGTTCTCAAAGTTGAGGCTGTTGCAGCATCTCCATAATCACATGATCACAATTAGGAGCGGAATGAGATAAGTGCTTTAACCAGTGAGGAAGCAGTCACAGCTCCTTCCAAAAAGCCTTCTCTCCTCCTCCTCCCCCCAAAAAGGTTCACATGTAATGGTGGTTGGATAATATTTACTTTTGAACCAAGTCATTATCATGAAAAAGCGTTCTAGTCTGTTTCTCAACACAGTTCTACATACTGGTGTTGATAATGAACTTCCAGATGTTTAATTCTGGATTCATGGACACCTTTTAGATCAGAGTCTTTTTGACAGATCTGTCCTGGGCTAGTAATATTAAGTCTCTGCATCCCACTGTTTACCAGCCGTGTAAATGTTGGAAGAAATCTTGCAGAAATTTGGCAGGGAGCTAATGCAAATGCCTTTTGCTAAGAAACAGCTGCAACTCAGTCTACTTTTGGCTCTGGCCTGACTACACCTGGAAAATAGACCTTGACAGTTTTTAATTGTGTTCCTGTACATCATGTTAGGAAAAAGATTTTTTACCCCTGCAGTGGTCCTAAACTGGTATATAGGTAGTCTTATCCTATGGAGATTGAGCCCGTCTATGGAAATAATCAATGTTATTAAGATCTGCTCACATTTTCGAGAGAGCCTTTACTGTTGCATCCCAGGACAGAATGATAAAATTGTCACTGGGCAGAATAAAGATAACACAAAATCATCTTTACTGGTGGATATTGATTGGCAATTGGAAACTCAACTATAACTCACAAAAGAATAATTCATAAATTGGACAGGGACTAATTTTCTATTTCCTTTAAAACCTTCTACCTGTGCTCTAAATTCAAATTCAGTCCTTGCACTTCTTGAGTTAAATGAATAAAACCTGGATTTGAATGAGGACAAGGGAACAAAGATTATTTTCAATTCTTTTTAACTGTTGGAAGGAATGAACAACAGAAATTACAACTTCAGCACTTGTGCATTTATACAAGTAGTGAGAGCCTTGAATGAAATTTGCTTTCCTTTAAACTTGAGTGAAATTAGCTTTTCTTGAAGACGTCTAGAAAGTTATTTTGCAGCTCTTCATTGACTGTATTGAAATACTAGTATTTTGAACATTGTTTTATTTGGAATGGGGTGTTGGGGGGAAAGGAAGGGAGAAAATATATCATAGAGATGGCATGGCAACAATTTTACAGGAAATAAAATATAGGTTATGGAACCAAAATCTTGAGATAAGAAGATAAATGGGATTTTTAAAAAGTAAATTATGTTGTAAAATATAAATTATAATTATCAGGAAAAGTAACAACAAAAAGTTGAAGATGATTTTTCTCTAAAACTATTTGAAGCTCTAAACGACTAACTCAGTAAAATTTCAAATGTAATTATCTTTTGCACTTAGCCCACGGCTTACCACATATCTCTACAGTGTCATCTTGCATACAAAAATAGGCCACATGTTTTTGAGGAATGGT